GGGACGCCGCAGAGGGGGACGGGGCCCCCTCCCGGGACCAGCCAGAACCCCAGTCCTAACGAGCCGCGCCGCGCCCCGATCCCGCCACCCAGGGCGTCTGCCTGGGGAGACCCCAGAAGGAGCCCCTCCGCGCCCGCTCGGCCGCGCCACTTCCCCGCACACGCTTCTTTTGGGTGGCGGGAAGCGCACTTCGCCTCGCAGACCATTTCCTCTCTCCCTCCCGCCACCCCGAGGGCCCGACCATCCCGGTGTGCGGGGTGCCCACGGGCGCCCTGCCACCCAGCCGGGCGTGGGAACGGCTGCTGGGGACTGGAGAGCGGGGAAGGGGGCAGCTGGAGGGGTCCCACTGTGGCAGCGGCTGGCGAGGCACAGGACTCGCCTCGCATTCTGGGAATCAGACCGGGTGTGTGGACGGTGGGCTCTGGGAGGGTTGCATGCCCGAAGGTGTGGGGGAGCCCCCCATTTTTGCAGTGAGACCCCGGATGTGCCCCAGTTGGGAGGTTTGACTCCCCCACGTTAGAAGTACAGGGAGAAGCAGGCATTGGACTGGGGTGAGAGCAGTACTTTGGGGTACTGCCTGTCTGGATGTGGGGGGCTGTCGGCCTCCCCCCGCAGGCCAGACCCTCCTTTCTCCCCCTGCACTGGGACCACCTCAGCCGCTGCTGCTGACCCTGATCCCTCCCCGAGGTGCCAGCTGACGAGGCACGTCCCTGGTTCTGCTCCAACCACTCGCCTGGGCCGGTGACCCTCTCAGAGTGGCCGTCACCCACCCCACCGTGCTGGGCAGGGTGTGGGCTCCACAGGGAGCCCGGGCCAGACCAGGTGTTCGCCAGAGCCAGAGCGAGGAGCAGAGAGGGACAGGCGCTGGGCAGTAAGGACTGCGCGCCACCGGCCAAGCTTCCCCGCCCTCCTCCCCCGGGGCACAGCGTCCAGCCGTGGTGGCCCAGGTCAGGGAAGAAGTCAGCCCTCGTGGTGGACAGCCACCCCAGAGGACCGGCAGCCTGGGGAGGACACAGCTTCCCCCACTTCCCCGACTAAGGCCACGTGGGCCCGCGTTCCCGCCATCGTCCAGCCCCACGAGGCTGGCCTCTGCTGGCCGCCACTGGCCCCGCGTGTGTCCCCCCATTTCCAGTCGCCTCTGTCCCTACGGTGTCCCCAGGGCAGGGCTGCCTGCCCCCCAGGTCCCCTTGGCCGGTTTAGTCTCTCACCCCGGAGCTGACAGGTGTCCCCCGTTGCTTACGTCAAAGGCCGAGTCCTCAGGCAGAGGTCCCTTGAGGCCCGGAGGGGACTGGCACCGACCTGCTGGCTGAGTCCGGCCCGGCCCAGGGCACGAGGCCACCTTGCCGCCCTCAGAACAGGCCCCGCTCTCGCCCCTCCGCGTTCCGCTCCAGGGTTCCGAGATTCTGCGAGTCACACTCCTCCTGGGCCGGAACCTTCCCGGCCTGCGCGTCACCGCCTGGCGTTTCCCCCGGGGCTCTGCACGTGGCCCCATCCGCTGGCCCTGTGGGGTGACGCGCTGTGACGGCTCTGCGGGGGTCAGGTTGGCTCGGGGGTCTTCCGCAGGCTCAACTCCGGGCTCTGGACTGCGGGGCCGGGCGGGTCACTCTGTCCTCGCTCAGCTCCTCGGTCTTCCTGTGCTGTGCACCCAGCGCTGCCAAAGGCACCGCCCACACGGGACAGCTGTCCCCACGAGTTCCCGGGAGCCCGATGTCCGGCGGGAAGAGGCAGGGCACCGTCCTGATTCAAAGCGAGAAACACACACTTGCCCTCGGCCGCCTCTGGGGGCAGAGCCTGGAAGCCGGGGAATATCCTGAGCGAGGAGAGCAGGTGCCAACGACGGAGGTATAGGTGGGGTCTGGTTGCCATGGGAACTGGCTGCTTGATTAGAAGATTGACCATTGGGCCCCACCAGCTAAGCTCCTGGGAGGGCACAGGTGCCGGAGCTGGAACTGATCACACCTGTGTGCTGGGGCCTCATGGATGCCCCAGAGCGGGCCTTCCCAGCTGGGGAACACAGGAGGCTTGGGGGAGATTCCAGGAGAGGGGGGCCTCAGAGTGGGCGGGGGACCCCTCGCCCCTCCCCACACCTGTGCAGCTGTGCAGCTCCTCAGCCCGGCCGTTCCTGAGTTACGTCCTGCATAATAAACCGATGACCTGGTGAGTGACGTGTGTCTGAGTTCTGAGAGCCACCTAGCAAGTCACTTGAACCCGAGGAGGGGGCACGGAGCCCCTGAACTGCAGTCCCCTCAGTCAGAAGCACAGGTGACACCCCACACTTGTGACTGGGGTCTGTGGGACTGAGCCCCTCGCCTGTGGGGTCTGATGCTCCCTCCAGGTAGATGGGACAGGGTGGAGCTGCGGGCCACCCAGCTGGTGCTGGAAACTGCTTGACGGCATGAAGGCCCCCCGCCGCACACGAGGAATTGGTGTCCCGTGAGGTGGGCAGCACCTCGACCTGACAGGCGGGGACGGCCCTGAGTCCTGCTCTCAGGGACGCATGTTGTCCCGGGGGCGTCCAGCAGGGAGGGCACAGGAGACGGAGGGGCCCGGGAGAAGGGAGGGGCCCCGGGGAAGGGACGGGCTCTGGATTTGCTCCAAGAGCAGCAGGACGAGGACAAGACAGAGGGGCGCGAGACGAGAGGGTCTGGCTCCCCCCTTTAAAGGGCGGAAGATGGTTCGGGGCCCAGTGCGAGCAGGTGAGGCGGTGAATCAGGAGGTGGCTCGTCCCCGGCAGTGGATGGACGGAGTGGGGTCACCGGAAGAGTCAGCACGATGGGTCAACGGGCCGACGTTTAGATGAGACAGAGGTGGGCCGAGAGAAACACGTGGCTTTAGTACGTGACCCGGGGACGAGGGGCGCAGGGCATGTGCCACCAAATGTGCCCCTCTGGCACATGAACTGTTTAGAATTAAAGGCGCTTGAGAAACGGTTGCTGCAAGAAAGACACCCTGACCTTGTCCCCTGGAAGCGGGAGACACTGCCCCACGTGAAAGGTGCCTCCCCTGCACCCGGAAAACGGAAGGTGTCCTCGTCACTAGAAACGGAGCTCAGGGCCGGAGGGCTGTGTAAACAAACCTTGTCGCGTCCTCACTAATTTACCAGCCCGAACCCCTCTGCCTCGTCGGCTCTTCACAGAGTTTTTGTCTCCTTGTCGCAAAGGCATAAAAGCGGCTTGGTCGCTTCTTAGAGTCTCATATTTTTACGAGGCTCCTGTAAGTACAAGTTCAATTTGCTTTTCTCCTATTAACCTGTCTTATGTCCGTTCATCTATTAGACCGGCCAAAAGGACCTAGAAGGGAAGAGGGAAAAAATTCTGCCCCTACAGGGAAGAACCAGGTCCGGGGGAGAAAACACAGAGCGAGCACAAGCCACGTGGCTTTGCAGAGACGGTTCCATATCGGGCGGGCCGTGGGACAGGGAAGCTGGGACAGCACAGGAGAGGCCGGCTCGAGCGATACATGGCTGGGTGACATCAGAGCTACCCGCGACTCAGGGCGGAGTGATGAGGAGGTGGCGCCTGCATGTAGGCCATGGACCAAGTGTACAGAAGAGACTCTGATGTGACTTTCTCACTGAAAAGCGTGGGGACGGATGAGGCAGTCGGGGAGGTTGCTTTCCGCTTTCCTGGACCAGGACAGTGTGACGCTTGCTTAAAAAACACCGACGGAGTGCGTGAGAATAGGAGCCGACGACGTTTACCTCGACACTTGTGATTGTCCCTGATTTTTAAAAAAAAAAAGCAGGCATAAGGCATCCTGAAAATTGTGATGTGCAAAGCCAGGCACAGATGCTGTGTGTTACCTGCCGAAGCCGTGACAGTCCCTTAGGAACGATGGCAGTCTGGAGCTGGGAAGAGCTGGGTTGGAGTAACTGGCTGATGCCCCAGTGGGCTGAATCCAGGAAAACGTCCCAAAGCCCGGAAAAGCCCCATTCCAGACTCGTGAGTGAAGATTTCCATTTCAGGGCGCCTGCCTGAGCACAGTCATCGCGCTGCTTGTTTGTAAAGGACGGACCCGCAGTTGTGCTGGGAAGCTGGGGACGCGTCTCCAGAGGATGAGAGAAGGTGGCAGGGTGTCTGGGCGAGACAGAGCTGGCGGCAGCGGCTCGCTGAGGAATCTGATACACAGAAGGAAATACATTCGACGGTTACGTCGGCGAGCACGCGCTTTTCAAAAAGCGAGTTTTCCGTATAGATCCCCTAGAAAGCATGAAATCTGGGAGCATGAGCCATTCTGAGTTGAAATAAAAAGTTTTTGGAAAATGCAGGCATTACAAAACAGGGCAGAGTGAAAATAGCAAAAAGGAGCCGGGGGCGGGGCCTGGGGAAGGCCCCGCAGCGTGGCAGCTGGCGTCCCCCGGAACAAGTGACCAAGGAGAAAAGAGGCAGAAACGCAGCGCCCTCGACCAAGGCTGGAGGTCACGCAGTCACTCCCTCCGCATCCCATTGCTTACACAGATCACGTGTTCCCTGGGTGGGAGGTGGCTGCACGGGGCGTGGGGACCAGGAGGCTCACGGGGGCCACGGCATCCGGCACCCACACACCGCCACGAGACCAAGGAGTGGCACGCTTGGTCTGCCTGGTCACTTGTCCTGGGGGAAGCACTTGTGCACTCACGTCCACACTAGGAGGGCGCTCATGCACGCGACTCCCCAGGTGAGGGCTCTTGTCCTCTGCCAGCTGTCCCGGAAGTGGGTCCTTCAGCCCCAGTCAAGCATTTAGGTGACCGTGGCCTTGGCCAACGTCCTGACACTTCTTGGGGTCACGAAAGGCCCCCAGCCAGAGCCACCAAGTAAGCAGCTCCTGAATCCCCGACTCATAGAAACTGAGAAAATTAACGATTGTTGTCGTTTAAGCCCTCAGTTTTGGGGGTAATTCGTTTCACAGTAACTAGTTGTATTTTTGGAATATATTATTACATTTTTTGTAACTAACATATAGAACGTGTAATGTCCAAATTTCAAATGACATAAGAAGGTGGGTCACACACAAAGGAACAGTATAAATTCCACCGCCAAGGAAAAAAGGGACATATCCTTCTATGTGTCACTGAAAGCTATATTTCTGGCGGTTTTCGCACTGGAATGTATAACTGGGACAAAAATAAAGAGCCCAGTAACAAATTTCTGCGTATATGGAAACTCGGTCTGTAGTAAGTACGGAATTTCAAGTCAAAGGAAGGAAGAACAACTATTCAATATGTAGTACCGAAAAACTGGACTATTCTGGGGAGGAGTCAGTCAAACCCCGATCGCACGCCATAAACTAAATTCCAGGTGGATGACTTATCTAGACTTTTTTAAAAGTCAAAACGTCACAGAAGCTACCTTTTTAATGCTGGAGTGGGAAGAGCTTTCTAAACAAGCTCAGAACTGGCCGTGACAGCCTCGCGTCTGAACACATTAGGCCAAGTGACACCTTATCCGGGAAGAGGGGGCTCCGTGCTCTACAGCTGCTTGTTGTCGTTGTCGCCGTTTTCTCATGAAGGGAGAACTGAATGTGTGGGCGAAGAAAGGCACCCGATCTGCGGCCCGTCCCCGTTTCCAATGTCATTTCACGTTATCGCGTGGGAGAGGGAGCGAGGACGGGGTGTCAGCGCTCGCGTGGCTCACGCCTCACTCGCGGGTTGTAAACAGCGCACAGCATCGTGTCCCTGGCCAGTGCCCAGGGCGGCCGTGCCCGAGGACGCCCACAGGGGCTCAAGCCACGGACGCGTGCGTGCCCCGGGTCTGCAGCCCGGAGCCTGGCCGT